CTAATCTGCTGTGTATTCCTTCCACTGTGTTCTTTATTAGTGCTCAGGCAAACACTCAAAGCCTCCAGAGACCCACCTCTGCCTACAGACTGATTGCATTCAGTCTTGAGTGCCTCAGGCAATCATCCATAGGTGGGGTGAGAGGTTTTCCAAAAGGGTGGGGCAGTTGCTTCTGAGTACAGGCTGATTGTTATTGTCAGTCTCTTAATGGGCCTCAGAAACTCCACAGGGTTGAGTAAGGGTTTTGCCATTAGGGTAGAGCAACTGTCTTCCCCCAAGGCAAAAACACCCTGCATAGCAAAGGTATGCCTGAGAAAAGATGTTCTCCTCAGCATGAGGGAATTACTTAGCACAGGAAACTCATGTGTCTTCCTTTCGAGCTCTAACTCCAGAGCCCCCAGCCCTGGCTTCTGCTCACATAGTTCTGGTCCACTTTCCCTCTCTCTGCCTGGGTCCAAGGTGAGTGGCTGCACACTAAATTTTCTGCCTTGGTCCTTTGAGAGTGTGCCTGCATTTCCAGCTATCTCTCCCTGGCAGTAGCAACCCTGCTGCTTGTCACAGCAAGATGTTATGTGGGCACCTTTCTCAGTTTTGTTGCTCTTGGCTTGGGGAAAGGGAGGTTCAGCTTGGGGTTTAGACCCCAGAGCTTTCAGTGGTAACCCCCCACATCTGAGATATCTCTCCAGAACTTAACCTACTGTCTTTGGGATCCTCAGCAGCCCTTCCAAGCCTCTTCCCTTCCTACCAGTCTCTATGTGGTCTCTACTTTCCATCCTTGGTTATCAGGGTTCTCTCTAGCTAATCTTCAGATGATTATTCAGGATGACTTTTTTGTTGTTTGTTTTATTTTGTTTTTGTATTTGAGTTGTAATTCCAGTTTGGTCCTGGGAGCATGTGTATAGCATCCACTTACTTCACTGACCTTTTTAATCTCCCAGTTATTGTATTTTTTAGCTCTGAGATTTCTAAGTGGGGTTTTTTATGGTTTCTATTTTCTTGTTTAACTTCTAATTTTGTTTATGCATTGTTTTCCTAATTTATTTAGTTTTTGTGTTTTGTAGTTCACTGAAGTTTGTGCCGTGCCAGCACGGCCAAGGGTGAACCTGAGGAGGGGCAGTGAAGGATTAAAGAAGACAGACAAGAGAATACAGCTGGGGCTCAGCAGATCTCCCATACCTGGATGAGGACACACAAAGACCCAGCCTGCAAGCTGAAGCTTTATTTTATAGTCAGATCACACAAAGCAAAACAAGGGTAGTGGTCAACATGTTTACGATGTTCTTGTGAGTTTCACCTTGTTTGGGCAGTACTTGCTGCACCTCCCACAGCCCATTAGCTACCTAGGAAGGAGCAAGGAAGGACTATAAGCTCAAGCTTAATTATGTTAAGAGGGCTCTGCCCTCCAAGCTGGGACTTGTTTGTGGCCCTGCCACCAGTCAGTCTGAGGCTTAACTGTATAGCCGCTCCCTACAGAAGTTCTTTAAGAGGATTATTTTGAATTCCTTTTCAGATAGTTCTCCATTTCTTTGGGGTAAGTTATTGGAGCTATATTAGTTTCTTTTTTAAAAAATATGTCTGTATTGATTTTAGAGAGAGGAAGGGAGAGTAGTAGAGAGATAGAAACATCAATGAATGAGACACATTGATCACTGCCTCCTGCATACCTCCTACTTGGAATAGAGCATGCAATCCGGGCATATGCCCTGACTGGGAATCCAACTGGGGACCTCTTTGTTCATGGTTCAATACTCAACCACTGTGCAACACCATCCAGGCTATTAGGTTCTTTTGATGGTGTAATGTTTACCTATTTCTTTGTGATTCTTGATTCCTTGTGATGGTATTTGTGCAATTGTTTATGTTTCTTCCTCACCAAGACTTTACATGTTCACTTCTGCAGGGAAAGACCTCCACCAGTCACTGCAGCTTGTGGGTACTAGATAGGTCATTTGTTAGCATCTGTTGGCAGGAAGAGTTTGTTAGTATGGTCTGTAGTTGGGTGAGATCAGTGCTCATGCTCTGAGGTTGGGGGGATGCCTCTAGCTATGACCATATTCAAGCATGGCCATTATTTGGCCATATTCCTGTTTGAGCTGGTCTATTGACTCTGCTCTGCAAGTGAGGTGGGGCCATTAGCTGAGCTCTGCAATCACCTCTGATTGGGTCAAGTCCCAGTCTATGTTCACTGGCAGGATGCTACCACTAGTTGAACTCCACAAATGGGCAGGGCTATGGGCTCTGCACTGCAGTTATCCCAGTTATGTGGGATCCTAAAATTTACTTCACAATCAGTTGGTGCTACTGTTGGACTCTGTGAGGCTATAGGCAGGATTTAGTAGTCAGATGTGGCCCCAGGCTGTGGTCTGGGAACAGGCAGGGCTACATAAGTTTGAGTGGGACTGAATGCTTGTCTTTATGATCACCTAAACCATTGTCTGTGCTCTGCCGATAGGCAAGGTCAGTGGCTGGGCTTTTCTGTTGGTTGGGGCAGTAGGTTATGTCGTAGGTAGTGGGAATGGCACTGGATCTGAGACCAGTGGAGTCACACTGCACCAGGGTTCAGCATCCTCTATACTTCAGTTCTGGCTAGGAAAGAATTAAGAACCAAGATTCAAACTATAACAGGACATTTATTTATAAAATCATAGAGGTAGAAGAAGCAATATGTAGAAGAAATGGGCTTAGGAAACAAGTTACAAAGGTATAGGAAGGGCCCTTGGAACTGGGGAATGAGGAAGGTAATGGTAATGTGTTTGGGGGTGGAGGAGGAGGAAGGGAAAAGGGTGGGAGGGTGAGTAAGGTGGGTTCTCAGTCCTAAGGGTTTTAAGGGTGGAGATCTTAAGGGATCCCAGAGCCAAGATCTCAATAGAGTATTTAGCAGTTTTCCAGGTATGTCCTTTAAGGGTCTAGGTTTCAACTGATTAATTGGTGGGCACTAGAACAGGGGGTCATTATCCAATGCAGTTGATCCTGAGGTTAGTTGTGGTGTTGCTTGTCTGGTTTTGCTGCTTTTCTGGACCTGGAGCTGAAATACAACTCAGGCCTAATTGTTATCTCTAGGGAGGAAAGGTCAGGTGGTCCAAACCGCAGGACCATGGATATGCTAGGGGAGGAAATTTCACCCTGGGGGCTAGGTCCCACCCTACAATTGGCCTTTGCTAGGCATCCAGGTTTTTCTACCATAGTGACCTTCTGTACCTGGCCCATCATTCTTGCTCTGCCTACCACAGGTTATGCTTCTGATTGGACAGGGTTACTGGCTGAGCTTTCTGCCTGGGGAAACCCACAGGTCATGTTCAGCCATTAGGCAGGGTCATAGGCTGGCCTTCTTTGCTTATTAAGGTTGTATACTTGGATCCCAGGCTGGGTGAGATGTGGGCTGGGCTCCTCTGTTGCCCAGGCTCACTGTTCAGACTCCCTGGGTAAGCAAGGCCAGAGGCTGTGCTTAAGAGGCTGCTAGCTTGCCTCCCTAACCAAGCACGGCTGTAGGATTGGGCTCCATGGCGGCTTTAGTTTTCTGGCCAGGCCTCCTGAGTGGCCAGAACTGGAGGCTATGCTCAGCACTTGGGTGGTGCTAGGAATTTGCTTCCTTTCCTGGGTGGAGTGCTAGAACAGGCTCCACTTCCCATATGGCCCACTGAGTAGGGATCCAAATCAGGGAGAAATACCAACTGAGATCCTGATCCCTAGTCAGAGTGGTCACTGGCTCAGCTTTTCAGATTGCCAGAGCTTCTGGCTGGGATCTCTGCTCAGACATTGCTGCAAATAGCAATGCTGTCTGCAAAGACCTGAATTCTGACTGCTGTAAGCCCCACTCCGCTATCCACCTCTGTCAAAACCCTGCAGATTCTTCCAGTGACTCCCGTGAGGCAAGACCTGAGTGGGCCTCCCAGGAAGCCTTCCATATGCTGGAGGAGCTGGATGTACAACTCAGGCTATCTTTTTCCACTTAGAAACCACAGGCTTGAGGTGCCCTCTTGATGTGGCACTGTGTCAATGTGAGGATGGAGTCATATGGTCAGAGCAAATGTAGTCCTCTTACCCTTCTTGTGTGGGATTTTCACAGTGGTGTCTTTTCTATGGATAGTTGCTAATTGGTTTTCCTGTGAGGGGGACTGAAGTTGGCATATGAAGGAGACCTATGGATCCATCTTGATGACATCACTCTCTCCTATGTGCTTAGCTTTAAGTAGGTTATGCATTCCTAAACGTACTGATAGATTATGTCTTATAATTTTGTCTCTCTGGTGCTTAGCTCCATATTGGGAATGTGGCAGGTGAACAGTAAATGTGTGGTGATTCTATGATTGAAACATGTAAGAAAATGAAGCATTGTGATATGGAATAGATTCTGTGTGTGTATTTTCATCTTTTAAAAACAGAATTGCTGCTCCTCCATGTATACTTGCATTTGCAATATGTGTTTTTCCCTCCAAAGTTTTTATGGTTAGTAGTTCAGGGTCATTGCTTCATACTGTTTATGGGTACTAACTCTGTGGGCTGCTTTGCCTCAGGGATAATTTGATTAGAAGTACTGCTGTTTGACACCATTTAGGAAAATGTTACACTATAGAGGGCATTGGATTTGTGACAGAATGATATTGATGAGAAGCCAGGCAAACTAATAACATGATGGCTCGGTTATTAAAATTGGGCCTTTTGGCATTTTGTCCACCATTTTTATTGATATCATGGCCATCTCCTAAGAGATAAGCATGTGACCAATTTGATGAGTTTTATTTGGCAAGGGCAGAAACTAATACCAGATAAACAAGGTCATAGTAAGTTCATATAGACCTCATGCTTCCAATATACTCTGTTTCTTTCCTCTGAAGTTAGATATCTGTTTGTGATGGAGAAAACTTTTATGTAAAGGGGAAAGATTAGAATGCACTGAAATGAAATGCTCATCTTGACATCGTCAGCTTTAATGGAACTTATTTGATGTAGTGATTCAGCCTCTGTGAATCTGACTGTGTGTATGTTCTGTGTTTTTACAGAATCATCATCCAAGGACCTCCCAGAGACCACAAGAAAACATGGGGAGGAGTAAGTTTCTCTTCACTTTTAAATAATTTAGACTCCATATTAATCCACTGTATCTAGGAAATTACATTTGCAACTCAAAGGTTTTCATGTGTGTGTGTGTGTGTTTATGTGTGTGTGTGTATTTTGGGGTATACTTAAATTATATTTCTGATTAGTGTTAGAAAGCTTTTGTCTGAAGCAAACCTATACAGAGACAAACCAACAGACCACATGTTGCTCACTGGCAAGAGTCTCTTTTTCTTCTTCTTCTCTTTTCTGAACATCTCCCAGTACAAGGAGAGAAGGCTCAAACTTGATACTATATAGACCTACCCAAATCCCAGCTCCTTTACAACTCTTAGCAAAATATGCTTCTAATGGTTTTTAAGCCTTGTTGATAATAACATAAACAAAAACATGCAACCAATGACAGTATTAAAAAATTTATCTGTGAGGTTGATTTATAAATGGTTTCGATTTCCCCTAAAATGTTAAAGCCTGGCATTAAGAACCATTAGATGAATTCCATTTGTTATTTTTCCTTTCTTATAAGGCTATTTAGGGTCAGTGACTAATAGACAAATTTAAGGTCATTTCATTGTTGGTATAAACCCGCTACTAGTGACTTCATAAATAATTCTAATCAATGTAGACTATAAAATCAGATGCTATAAAGGATCTCACAATGAGACTTGGTGTTGTATAGTATAGTGAGAAGAGTACTGGACACAGAGAATCAAAGGCCTGAATTCAAGTCTGCCTCTACTACCTTGACCAAATCCTAGAGACCCCCAAAACTTGTATGTTCATATCTGAGGGGGGATTAATACATTATGCACTTCTAGCCTCAGGAAGCTGAGGTTGGCATAATGTGACAATGCATATAAAAAGCATGTTGAGAACTCTATAAAGTACAATGAAAGAGAGCAGTGGTATCTACTCTTTGCTGTCCTTATTGAATAAGTATATCTTCATTGGTTCAGTCTTATATTGGTTAAAATGAAGTTATTTTATCAGCAGGGCCACTAGGGTTGTGCAAGTGGCAGAGAATTCCACCTTATGTTTTGAGCTCCAGGCACTTTATTTGCCCCATCTTAGTATTGGCCCTGGTAGGCCCTGGATTAATCATGGAAAATATCTTCCTGAACTTATTGAATCAAATTTTGCCTGCTTCCCTCTCTCCCCCTGAGCTTTCCTTGGAGATCGATTAACCCCAGAGAGTCTGATTCTTTACCAAACTCCATAAAAGATACAAATCTCTGATAGTTTATAAATTTTTTAAAAACGAATAAATTAAAAAGGAAACTTGTCAATTTTCAGACTAATCCATGCCATGTCCTAACACCAAGTCAGTTATCAACAGAAGCTTCCACAATAACTCATCCTGTTTGGTCTTCACCTAATCTCAAGCTTGAGTTGGATTTGGAGAAGAGAGCTACACTGAGACAGGGCAACACATTTCTTCTTGTTTCTTCTCTTCCTTTTTAGAATAATCATCAGGTCATTAGCAAAGAGATCATTAGATGCTTAATTTAAAAGGTGCCCCAGCAAGTATTTGTTTAACTGGTCAAGCAATTAATAGGATATTTGATAAAGGACAGGGCATGGTAATGTAATCTGCAAGATGGGCATGCTTCCAACCTTGAAATGAGATAAAGAAAGTCATTCAAAATTCTACTTTTACAAACAAACAAAAGCTTGTAAAGTGGTCAACTGTTTGTGTTGACCACTTTAAAAACATCCTTAACATTGTGAATTTCAAAGGCTCTTTTACTCTCTAAGCTTTACTTAGTTTGTTTGATTACACTTGTTAATTGCTGACAGTATTATTGAAAAGAAAAATGTTACTGGGTGCTCATATTTTTTTTTCTTTTCTGGCAATGTACAATGAAGCTTTTATGGGATTTAGTAAACCTTCTCACAAACATAGATCAATGTGTCGTACAAAGGGACAACAGAGGAAAATATCACAAAGACATGACGCTAGCCTCATTAATTAAGGAGCCATGAAAATAACACAGCTGGAAAACTATAAAGTGTAGGTGAAAATTTAAAATTGAGGTAAATTTATTTTTGTATTCTTTGATATTGGATGAAGAAATTATAAATATGTGTCATTTATGTGACATGAAAAAATTTCTAAATAAAGTCTTAAAATGGTGGGGGTTGGGATGAAAACAGACTTATGTATTTAATTTCTTATTAGGCCACCATCAGCATCCATTGTATATGGCATTGAAATCCCATTTATTACACATGGTTTCTGAGCTATGGCATAATAGTTAGGATTCTTAAGACTATACAATTATGTCCCTGGACTGTGTGGCTCGATTGGGCATCATCCTGTGCACCAAAGTTGCTGTGTTCAATTCCTGGTTGGGGCATATGCCTGGGTTGTGGGGGTCAGGGGCATGTGGGAGGGAGGCAGCCAATCTGTGTTTTGCTCTTGCATCGATGTTTCTCTCTCTCCCTCTCCCCTCCTCTCTCTGTTAAAATCAATAAAAATGTGTTTTTTTAAAAAGAATCAATAATAATTATTATTTTTTATCTTTAATTTATTTATTGGTTAAGGTATTACAAATGTGTCCTCATCCCCCCATTAAAGCCCAACCTCCCCCCCTCCCCCCACACTCATGCTCTCATCCCCCTGTTGCCCTATGCTATAAACATAGGAGTGCATATATCCTTTCTGATTGGTGTTTCTGGCTTCTTGGGATATATTCCTAGAAGTGGGATCACTGGGTCAAATGGGAGTTCCATTTTTAGTGTTTTGAGGAAGCTCCATACTGTTCTCCACAGTGCCTGCACCAGTCTGCATTCCCACCAGCAGTGCAGAAGGGTTCCTTTTTCTCCACATCCTCTCCAACACTTGTTGTTTGTTGATTTGTTGATGATAGCCATTTTGACAGGTGTGAGAGGATACCGCATTGCCATTTTGATTCGCATCTCTCGTATAATTAGGGACAATGAGCATGTTTTCATATGTCTTTCGGCCTTCTGTACGTCCTCTTTTGAAAAGTATCTATTTGGGTCCTTTGTCCATTTTTTGATTGGATTGTTTATCTTCCTTTTGTTAAGTTGTATGCGTTCCCTGTAAATGTTGGAGATTAAACCATTATCGGTAATATCATTGCCAAATATGTTCTCCCATGCAGTGGGCTTTCTTGTTGTTTTGTTGATGGCTTCTTATGCTGTGCAAAAGCTTTTTATTTTGATGTAGTCCCATTTGTTTATTTTCTCTTTAGTTTCCATTGCCCTAGGAGCAGTATCAGAGAATAAATTCCTTCAGCATATGTTTGCAATTTTGCTGCTTGTGGATTCCTCTAGTATTTTTATGGATTTCCATCTTACATTTAAGTCCTTTATCCATTTTGAGTTTACTTTTGTGTATGGTGTGAGTTGGTGGTCTAGTTTAATCTTTTTGCATGTATCTGTCCAATTTTCCCAACACCATTTATTGAAGTGACTGTCTTGACTCCATTGTATGCTCTTGCCTCCTTTGTCGAATATTTATTTGGCATAGTGGTTTGGGTCGATTTCTGGGTTCTCTATTGTATTCCATTGATCTATATGTCTGTTCTTGTGCCAGTACCAAACTGTTTTAAGAACAGTGGCTTTTTAATACAGCTTGATATCTAGTATTGAGATCCCACTTACTTTGTTCTTCTTTCTCAGGATTGCTGCAGCTATTGAAGGCCTTTTTTTATTCCAGATGAATTTTTGGAACGTTTGTTCTAGATCTGCGAAATATGCCATTGATATTTTAATGGGAATTACATTGAATCTATATATTGCTTTGGGTAATATGGACATTTTGATGATGTTGATTCTATCAAACCATGAACATGGTATGTTCTTCCATCTGTCTATGTCTCCCTCTATCTCTTTTTTCAGTGTCCTGTAGTTTTTCGCATATAAGTCTTTTACCTCCTTAGTTAAGTTTATTCCTAGGTATCTTAATTTTTTTGGTGCAATGGTAAATGGGATAGCTTTTTAAGTCTTACTTTCTGTAAGTTCACTATTGGTGTAAAGAAATGCCATAGATTTCTTGGCATTAATTTTGTATCCTGCTACATTGCCGAATTCATTTATGAAGTCTAATGATTTTTTGATGGAGTCTTTAGGGTTTTCTATGTATAATATCATGTCATCTGCAAATAAGGACAGTTTTACTTCTTTTCCAATTTGGATGCCATTTATTTCTTCTTCTTGTCTGATCACAGTGGCTAGTACTTCCAGTTCTATGTTAAACAGGAGTGGTGAGAGAGGACATCCCTGTCTTGTTCCTGTTTGTAGCGGAAATGTTTTTAGTTTATGACCATTGAGTATGATGTTGGCTGTTGGTTTGCCATATATGGCTTTTATTATGTTGAGGTATGATCCTTCTATTCCCACCTTGCTGAGAGATTTTATCGAAAATGGGTGTTGGATTTTGTCAAATGCTTTTTCTGCATCAATTGATATGACGATGTGATTTTTATCCCTCAATTTGTTTATGTGATGTATCACGTTTATTGATTTGCGGATATTGTACCATCTTTGCATCCCTGGGATAAATCCTACTTGGTCATGGTGTATGATCTTTCTGATGTATTGCTGGATCTGATTTGCTAGGATTTTGCTGAGGATTTTGGCATCTATGTTCATGAGGAATATTGGCCTGTAATTCTCTTTCATTTTGTTGTCTTTATCTGGTTTTAGTATTAGGGTGATGCTGGCTTCATAGAATGAGCTGGGAAGTGTTCCTTCCTCTTGAATTTTTTGGAATAGTCTGGGGAGGTTAGATTTTAGTTCTTCCTTGAATGTTTGGTAACTACCCTGTGAAGCTATCTGGCCCCGGGCTATTATTTGTTGGGAGCTTTTTGATGACAGCTTCAATTTCTTCCATAGTTATTGGCTTATTGAGATTTTTAGAATCTTCCAGATTGAGTTTTGGAAGATTGTATTTTTCTAGGAATATGTCCATTTCCTCCAGGTTATATAGTTTGTTGGAGTAGAGTTGTTCATAGTATTTTTAAACA